AGCCTCAATTGGGCAGCAAGGTGAGCTGCGTACGCGAGGCTGCTCGGCCAGCCCGCCCCGTGACTCCTGTTAGTGCGCAGCGCATACCTGCCACGCAGACTCCAGCCCCGCAGGCTGTCCTCCCGGTGCACAGCCCCTATCCTGCAATTCCTTGGCGGCGGCGGTGGCAGCGGCAGCCGCAAGACCTCCTCCTCCTCAGCCACCGCCATATTGGCTCCCTCCTCCCTCTGAGCCCCCTCCCTCCAGCTTCCCTCAGGCCCCGCCCTGCTCTTCCCTCGCCCTCGCACAGCGGGTCCTGGCTGCACTGCCGATGCCCTTTTGTCCACTCAAACAGCACCGGGACTTTTTTAAAATGTCGCGGGACAGGGGAAAAATTGTGACAAAGAGTGCCTGTCCCGCCAAAAGCGGGACGTCTGGTCACCTTATCTACAATGTGTTCTTTTCCCCATTCCACAATATTTATACAATTCTTCTTGTTATTAGGCTTATTATATAACGTAGAAATAAGTAATGTAGATGCTTCCATTTAAAAAGAATTAAACTAGCTTTTAAACAAAGTTGGCAAGAAAGTTTTCAAATTATATCTTCATCTTTCTACCATTTAAAAATGGCAAACTCTCAACAATTTCTTTCTTAATTGGTTGCCAGTATTGCAGCTGTAACACAAGCTCTCTTGTCAAGCACTGTTAGAATTATCTTCTATTTGTTGCAATAATCAGCAAAACATCCCCCTTTCTATACTTAGAAAATGCTAAGTAATCAATTAAAAAAAATATCAAATGCGAGACAGAAAAGTGTGAATCAGTCTGTTCAAATGTACCAAAAATAAATATCAAACCAGAAGATTATGGGTTGAACAAATCAGATAAGGTGTTCAGATTATTCAATAAGGTGGGGGAAGTTACAGTTATGGCATCAGAAAACAATGGGTATGATTAAGATAAATTAACATTTTCACTTGGCATTGATTTTAGAGAAGCTAGTTAACTACAGTATGTGCATATATTTTTCCAGGGAAAATCAATGAAATGAAAAAGTATAACTTTGGCTCAATCTTATTAATGTTTCTTTTGCCAACTTTACTAATGTTACCCATAAAAATTCACACATTCATCAGAAAATGCAGGTGCAATCCTCATAAAATACCTGTCTTTGTCAAGACTGCTGGATAATGTTTGCATATAACACAATATAGCCAGCTCTTCTACCAAGAAATTTTGGTATAAAGAGTCCAAAATCCTATGAACTATAGTGATCAGCCATAGGTTTCCAAAAAACTGCCTTCTTTAAATTTGATGATTCAAAAAATAGTATTCGGTGATCTATTGCTGTACAGACACAAGTTTCATCTAATGCTTTTGCCTACCATCAGTTAGTCACATGAAAAGAAATTTGTGTGAAAATACAATATTATGCACACTAAACACTTCTGATAAACAGTAAAAATGTGATTTATTCTCACAGCTTTTTATGGAAGACTGGTGTGGCAAGAATTAATTCTTCATACAATGGGATTGTTTTAATTTCCTGCTAACTACAAATAAAATGTTTTCTTCTTTATACCTTGTAATTATAAAACATTCTTGTTCTATTTTTTTTTCTTTCAGTGCTTATCAATTGAGCCAACAAATTCCTATTTTGTTTTCAAGTTTGTTATTGGTCCATAACCAGACAATTTCTACTTTTTTCAGGGAAATGTCAGCAAGAGAACTCATATTTGATCCACGGCACCTGAGTGTAGAACAAGAAGCAATGGGTGGAAACTAATCAAGGAGAAAAGCAATTTAGAACTGAGGAGAAATTTCCTGACAGTTAGAACAATTAATCAGTGGAACAGCATGCCTCCAGAAGTTGTGAATCCTCCAACACTGGAAGTTCTTAAGAAGATGTTGGATAACCATTTTTTCTGAGGTGGTGTAGG